CGGTTGATACGTTCAAAACACATGTTTTAGAATGAACGGGCACGTTCAGAAGGCGCAACAGCTCAGTAACTGTTGCGATTGCACCTTCTGAACGCGTTGTTTTGTACTTCTGATCAACTGAACAGTTGCTTGTTAGATGATCGTAAAATTTTTCTGATCATTTGAGACAACGTGTTGTGTGTTTTGAATTTGACAGCTAAGGTATCAAGCCGTTCAGAAGACGCATTACGATCATTGATGTTTTTAGCAACGGTTGCGCTCAACTTCTGCACCTTCTGAACCTATCCAATGTTTCAAGTACCTCTATACAACACGAATAACCCTGTTACGGCAAAACTTTAAATTAAAACTTAAGTAGCAACCCTCGTATAATTCATATAGATTTTGTATCTTACTCTTCCTTCTTTAAAAGCCTTCCATGGGATAAAGCTGTCTTTGGTCTTCAAGGGTTAAGGCAGTGTCACTGTTTGATGTATGACTTTTATTTTCCTAATATTTATTACTTAATAGCCACGCGCAATGGGGTATGCCACAAGAGAGAAAAAATAGTCTTAATAAAAAATAAAAGCGAAGCTGATAAAAAGTTATCTTTGCAGGCAGCTCTTATCAACGCTATCAAGAGCTACATGCAACATTAGTATTATTACATAGCGACGTTACTGTAAATAAAAAATACTGGAAATAAAAAATTACAAAAACNTTACATAGCGACGTTACTGTAAATAAAAAATACTGGAAATAAAAAATTACCAAAAAAAAACAAGTGCAACGAATATCTTCGAAAACTGTAAGTGTAAATACTTATATACGAATATACTTAAGTATGTATAGCATACGGAAAAATACTTGTGAAAACAAATTCAAGGAGAATAAGCGAATCCAAGAAAAATAAAGAAATTGTATTTGTTTGGTGATGTAGTGTGGCGAGACACAAAAAATTCATATAAAAATTCGTTTCTTTATGCTTTAAGTGCCGCTGTGGGAGCGGGAGCGGCGATTAAGTGTTTCAGAATTTTCTTTTAAAATAATTTACCTGCAAACATACACTAATTTTTTTCTGAAAATTTGAGTAGACAAAACTTTTTCTATGAAAAAGTATATTTACTTTTTTTTAGTTATTTCATCTTTTCGAAAGTGACTCATTAATAGCTGTCGCGCATAGCTACAAAGGTAAATAAAAATGAAACAAGCGCAACAACAACAATAAAAATTATTCCTACTGCTATGCAGTATCATCAACAGTCAGAGACAGCTAGTGGGAGTAATGGCAGGAAAGAAAAATAAATAAATAAATGAATAAGAAAAATTCGCAACATTCGCGATTTAGATTGTCGTGTGTCATAAATTTGTGTTATGCTAAATTTGCGCTATGTCAAGGGAGACAAATAATTTTTATGAAGATTAAAAAACAAGAAAAAACAAGCACTGCGAAAATCAAAACGTAACAATATACCGCAAGCAAATACAAAAACTTTTAATCAAGTAACAAAAAAAAAACGTTGGGAAAACGGCGAGCGTTGTAAAAGAAGTTTTTTTGCCGTGAAGTGAATGCAAAAGTGCTAAACAACTGTATAACGAAATTTGTGAAAGTTCACAAAAACGATAATTAGAAAACACCTAGGAATTTAAGCTACTAAATTGCAAGTAAATTGAAATGGTGAAATCTATAAAAAAAATAAAACTAAAAAAATTTCACTGGCAATTTAATTTTAAAATTACATGCACACATATGTATATATATACATATATGCATGTGTAGATACATATGAATATATGCCTTAATCCATGTCAAATCAACCAATGGTTGGAATATACCATATTTGATTTGGCTGAATTTTTGTTAGAACTTTGCTATTATAACAAAATTTGGCCAAAGAAAAATAAATTTTTTTTCGAAAGCTATGCAAAATTCTAAATTGTACATTTTTTCGGATTTCGCAAGTTTATTTTTTGGTTATCTTTTTAACTATTACACTTACGAAATTGGTCTCGTTTTAAATGTGACATTTGGGGTATAAAGAACAATTAAAAAAATCGCAAAAAAAAAATAACAGAATTGGGATATTAAAAAATTCTACAAGCAAAAACTAAAAATATTGTTAGCTTAATTTTTATAGAATACGTAAAATTGATCTTAAAAGATCAAGGTGCTTTTTTAAAGATAAGCATTTTTGGACTTTGAGTTTTTTTTGCAAACTCTAAATAAAAATTTGTTAAGCAGTTTTTATTTGATTTAAATTAATTTTTAATTTAGAGGTTGCAATATTTTTTTCAAAGTACAACATTTTTTTAAAAAAATCAGGATCTTTTGAAATATGTTAACGGTATTGCATAAAAAAATTTAAACAAAAATTTATATAAGTAAGTTTTTGCTCTTATGATTTTTTTTTTAATTTCAAAATTCTTTAACTGTATTAAAACAAAATGCAAAATCTAGAAAAATGTGAAGTTCTGAACTTAAAACATTTTTTTGCTTTGACAGTTTTTTTTTTAATGAGAAAACAAAAGTTCTGACCAGGAATTCATCCAAATCAAAAATGTTCGATTCCTGTCATTGATCGATTTGACATGGATTGACTCATATTCACACGTATATTAGAGTGGTCCTTAAAAGATCAACAACATAGGACACCTTTTTATTCTGTTCCACGCCAATATATCTACGAAAATTTCAAAATTTTAAACAAGTTTTTAGGGGTGGCTACCACGGTTTAAAAACTAAAACTTAAATTCGACAAATATTTGACTTTAATCAGCTATAACTAAGCGATTTTGTGAATTGGTATGAATAAGTTGCAATACGCTGTGTTTGTCGAATTTTTGGACCACTAAAATTTCGACCCACATCCATACATATATTGTTATAACGCAGCCCAAACTATAAGGTGGCCCCATCAAAAATATTGATGGGTAAGCTCAACCTTAATAGAACCTACAAAAAAGACAAAATAAAAGAATTTTACGACCTCTTGATGAAGGCGTACATATGACTAAAAAGGAAAACGTCCAAAAATCTTTAAAAATAAAGTTTTATTTTGATAAAGTTTACTAAAACATTGAGACATTTTTAAATATTACAACGAACGCATTTAAATATAAGTTCAAACCCAAAAATAAGTTAAAGTTAATTTTATGTGAACTAATATGGAAAATAAAAAGATGAAATAAAATAGAAATACATGCATTGCTCCAAAAAAAATGAGAAGAAAGTAGCAAACAGTTAATTATTTAAATTTTATTGTATTTGCACAGAACTCTTGCAATATAATAAAATTTAAAAAATATTATTTTCAACTTTTCCTGCTCCTTTTAGCAAATCAACAAAAAGTGGAACAAGAAAAATGTTTGTTTAGNCTATAAGGTGGCCCCATCAAAAATATTGATGGGTAAGCTCAACCTTAATAAAACCTACAAAAAAGACAAAATAAAAGAATTTTACGACCGCGTACATATGACTAAAAAGGAAAACGTCCAAAAATCTTTAAAAACAAAGTTTTATTTTGATAAAGTTTACTAAAACATTGAGACATTTTTAAATATTACAACGAACACATTTAAATATAAGTTCAAACCCAAAAATAAGTTAAAGTTAATTTTATCTGAACTAATAATATGGAAATAAAAAGATGAAATAAAATAGATATACATGCATTGCTCCAAAAAAAAAAATGAGAAGAAAGTAGCAAACAGTTAATTATTTAAATTTTATTGTATTTGCACTGAACTCTTGCAATATAATAAAATTTAAAAAAATATTATTTTTCCTCCTTTTAGCAAATCAACAAAAAGTGGAACAAGAAAAATGTTTGTTTAGAAAAATTCATTCGCATTAACAAAGCATCGTCATATTTCAATTAAACAATTCAAAAGAGAACATATAAGTGCCGTTAGAGGAATGCAGAGATACAGTATGTGCGCGAAAATCTTATTCAAAATCAAATCATCGTTACTTATTGCGCGTTTAAGTGGTCGAACCACAATTATCGAATTTTGGAAGTGAGCCTTAATAAAAGTATAAACTTTAACATAAACTGANGAATGCAGAGATACAGTATGTGCGCGAAAATCTTATTCAAAATCAAATCACCGTTACTTATTGTGCGTTTAAGTGGTCAAACCACAATTATCGAATTTTGGAAGTGAGCCTTAATAAAAGTATAAACTTTAACATAAACTGATTTTTTTTTTTAATTATTTACAACAACAGCACAAAAATAACCCGTGACAATGTGGCTTGCGAAGCACTCGTTACGACAGCATTTCATGCAAAAACAATTACAAGACGGACACGCGGCCAAAGCTAAAAGCTGTGCAGTGGATAATGGGCAGCATGTGAGCAGTTAAAGCAAGAAATTTGCAACTAGAATAACCAACTATTGTGAAGAGGCGATATAAAATATTGAAAATCGTAATTTTTCTTAAACAATAATTTTTATAAATAATCGAAAAAAGAATCATTAACGCCTGAATAAACANAAAGCAAGAAATTTGCAACTAGAATAACCAACTATTGTGAAGAGGCGATAAAAAAATATTGAAAATCGTAATTTTTCTTAAACAATAATTTTTATAAATAATCGAAAAAAGAATCATTAACGCCTGAGTAAACATAAAAAATAACTGTACGGTTTGCAAGCGAAAAACTGCGCAGCCAGTTAGGGTNAAGAAATTTGCAACTAGAATAACCAACTATTGTGAAGAGGCGATATAAAATATTGAAAATCGTAATTTTTCTTAAACAATAATTTTTATAAATAATCGAAAAAAGAATCATTAACGCCTGAATAAACATTAAATAACTGTACGGTTTGCAAGCGAAAAACTGCGCAGCCAGTTAGGGTGCCAGTAAGTGAGACTGAGAGAGAGAGTGAGAGACAGACAAAGAGAGCGAGCGGATGAGAGTGAGTTAAATTAATAACTGATAAAAATAACGGTAAATAAAAAACGTGAANTGCCAGTAAGTGAGACTGAGAGAGAGAGAGAGAGACAGACAAAGAGAGCTAGCGGATGAGAGTGAGTTAAATTAATAACTGATAAAAATAACGGTAAATAAAAAACGTGATTTGTTGTTGCCACACTTCGCCTGCAACTACGTCCGTGTATTCTGTGCGTCTTTTGTAGAGTTGCTACTAACTCTCCCACGGGCGGACGCCATGTATGCGCGAGTATTGCGCAAATGGAGTCTACACACGAAACCGCAAATGTCCATCATCATGTGGCGGCTACTGCTGCTCACCCTGTTGCTGCTCTGTCTGTGCGCATCGTCGGTCACATGCAACACCACCACCATCAACAGCATCACCAACACCAACACGAACACCAACAGCTTTCGTCTGAGTCGGCGGAGTACAGCACCTGTACCTGCTCCTGCAATTGCCTCCGCGTACATGCCGCCTGCGACTGCCAATGCACCAGTAACAACAGCAGTAATGTCAACAGACAGAGTAAGCGCAGCAGCAGCTGGAGTAGCAGCAGCAGGAGTAGCAGCACCATTACAGCATCCTTCATCACCACTGCCACTCAGCCTTTCAGCAGCACCAGCGTCAACAGCAGCAGCAGCAACTGTTGGCGACATCATCGAAGAAAGCTATTACATACCAGTCGATGGCGACGACACAGATAGCAACATTTATGAAAGTCGTCTGGTGCGAGCGCTGGACGTCGGCAGTGTGTTGGGGGGTGGTAGTAGCGGAAGCGAAGGTGTACTGGGGGCGGCAGCATTAAGCGTCAGCAATAAGAATAGTTGGCGCATTAGCAATAGTTATAGCAGTGGCAGCAGCAGCAGCGATAGATTATTTAGTAGTAGTAGTAACGTAGTGAGTGGCAGCAGTAAAAGTGGGAGACAACAACAGCAAGTGCAACAGCGGGAAAAAGAACAGCAAGATAGGCAAGCGTCTGCAATTTATGCAGACAACATGGCGTATGCATATTATCGGCGCACGGCGCCACCAACACTTCACATTTCACCTAAATTAACACAAACATCCACAGAAACAAAACCCACAAAAACATCAACAACAACGACGATAAATGCAGCGCCAGAAACAGTATTTAGTCCACGATTCAGTGTGCAACATGTTGCAAACGATGAAAATGTTGCAGTCGATGATGATGACGAGCATGAAGAGGAAGAGCGGGCGGAGGATGAGGAGGAAGAAGAAGAGTTGGTTGGCGTAGACGATGCCGACGCCAATGCTGACGTCGATGCCGACGCGGAGCATGAGGATGATACCGATGATGGGCATACACAACAACAGAAAGTTCCAAATACAAAAAATAGTCACATAATTAATTTATTTAAAGCATATACACATAACAACAACAACTACAATAATCGTTACTACAAATCGAATATAATCAATAAGCCAGAACAACCCTATGCTGCAGGGAATACACAGCAGCAGCAGCAACAGCAACAACCAGTGTTCACTCACAGTGCCGGGGCAGTCGTACAACAGCATGCGACAGGCAGACGTAGTACGAAGGCACGTCGACATGTCTCCGACGAGCAGCGCCAACATCGACTCTCGCTGCAGCAGCAGCAACCACATCGAACGGCGTTACATCATGTTGCGGGGGCACCTCCTACGCCGCCGTCGTCCAGCAGCACGCCGCTGCCCATCTCCCATTATCCCACCAAGAAAGTGTTCCAACTGGTCAATGGCAAGAATTTGACGCGAATTGTGCACCTTTTGCCGCCTACACATTACCGCATTGCGGCCTACGAAATACCCTCCTCGCTGCCCTATCGAGGCGAACTGACCGAGCAGCAGCAGCGCATGCTGCAACATCAGCGCGAGCAGCTGCAACAAGATCAAGCGGCGCGTTCACGTCGCGACTCGCGCCTCTTTGGCATAGCGCAGGCCACTGGCTACTACAGTATACAACAGCAATCGCCGCACGTTTCTGCGTTAGGGCAACAATCGAGCGCACAACAACAATTTCAGCGTCTGCAGCAGAGTAACACCGCAGGCAATAGCGGCAGTTGGCAGCAAATAAGTGGCAGCATATTTCAACGGCAGCCGTTGTATCAACAGCAGCAGCAGCAGCTGCATCAGCGCCAACAACAACATCAACACTTGCATAATCACCAACACAGCANATTTCAACGGCAGCCGTTGTATCAACAGCAGCAGCAGCAGCTGCATCAGCACCAACAACAATATCATCACTTGCATAATCACCAACACAGCGTCAGCGATGGCAGTTTTGGCAGCAACAGCAATCAACGCGCATCGTACAATCACAATCACAAACACAAAAGCAACAGTAACAACTACAACAAGCACAATCAGCGTCAACGTCAGCACAAGCGACCGCGTCGCTATTGCTCGGCGCGCGATCCCGCTCAGCTGGCATTCGAAGCGCCCATTGTTTTCGAGGGCAAAATCACATCGATGTCACCCGATCGGCGTCACAATTTTGCCGCCACGGTACAGGTGTTGAACGCCTACAAGCAACAGATCGGTTATCAGGTGAAGCGCGAACAATTCGTGCGACTGCAGTTTGCATACATTAACAGCAGCGGCGAGTGCGATATCTATCGCGAACAGTTACGACCACGCGGTGTGATGCGCGGCGACGAATTGGAACTGCAGCGCACCTATCTATTCTTCGTGCAGCAAATCGATATGCGCAACTTCACCATTCTCGGACAGCCGATAAGGAAGACGCGAAGAGTTGTCGAAGCGGTAAAAGATGCAGTGAGCGAAAATTATGGTGAGTTGAAAGTTTTATATATTTTATGAAAGGGGTACTTCAACGAGGGTCCAAGCAATAATTATGAGCTTAAGTTATTGTGGCAATGAATGTTCAGTCGATTGCTTTAAATGCCGTATCTTATAAATGAATTATTTAGCAAATAATTTGTCTAGCGAGTCTTCTTCCATGAAAAGGCGTGGAAATACGTCAAGTTAGCACGCAATTTATGAATACAAATTCCTAATAAAATTACTTAAGGAAGCATATGTAATCGGTTTTTTTTTTGTACAGCAAACTTCTTACAAATTTGGTAGAAAATGTTAAACGAAAATTAAATACCTTCTTCAATAGAATATGTCGGATTGAAATGAAAAATATTAATGGCAAAAATTTACTACAAAATAAGAAAAAATCTTGAAACAAAATTTTTTAAGAAACATGATTTCAGATTAAAAACTCAACTTAATGGTGGCTGTCAAAAATTTAACTTTTCTACATTTAAAGAGAATTTTTATCGAACTTTTTGGGTCGAATGCTTCACAGCTTGTAAGTAATTTCTTTTTTAGTTAAGCGGGAATACGCTTCACGGTTTACAAATTACTCATCTCAGGGGCCAACGGCGAACAACAAATTAGTACACTCATCCACTCTCAGGGTTATATAACAAGACATAGATTTGGTTAGGTTACACTGGCCGGCTGATGCGCCTTACATAGGCCCGTTGGTCCTTTGTAGTGCCGGATGAAGGTCCGTTTTACTGCGATCTAAAGTAGTCGTCGTATAAATAGGACATCAACGCTTTTCGCGAAATTCAAGAGAGCCTTAATATCCCATTTTGAAGCCTCCTCTAGTCCTTTGAACTGCGAAGCTCCGATATATCTAAGATGAGTTCTAGCTAAGGCCGGACAGAAACAGAGGAGGTGTTCTAATGTCTTATTCATGCCTTCCTCACTGCACTTCCTGCATGTGTTACTGCTACTAATGCACATTCTGCTTGCAGGAGATGCCAGTAGGTTGTGGCCCGTCATTAGGCCAACAACTGTCCTGCAATCCTTACGTGACCGTGTAAACAAGAAATGGATGTTTCCGTTGCTGCTATTGTACATGATCTAGGTGGTTTTGCATATCACTAATGCGTTCCATTTCACCCTGATCCGGCACCCAGCTCTTTCGGAAATTTCCTTAAACGTAACTTGAAACCTTCTTCCCCAGATGAAGCGTGGGGGTATGTGGTCTATTTTGTCCTCCATACCCCTGCATATCAAGCTGTGTCCGAAGGTTCTAGCAGAGATTTCAACAAAGTATAACTTTACACATAATTTCAAGGTCCTTTTCCCAAATATAACCAGCTGACACAATGAACGACCAAAGGATAGCCACATTAATTTTCAAACCCTCATTGATGTCCGATTAGAAGCCATAATGTCCTTTTTCACTAGCGAGGAACTTCAAACTACATATCTGTTAGGCATTATAGCATTTTCAGTTTAAATGAAACAATTTTCAAATTAAGTTAAACCTTTTTCAAATTAAATGAAACCTTTTTCAGCTTAAGCGAAACCATTTTCAAATTAGATGAAATCTTTTTCAGATAAAGCGAAACCTTTTTCTAATTAAATGAGACCTTTTTCAGATTCAATGAAACTTTATTCAAATCAAATGAGTTTAGTTTGAATAAAGTTTCAGTTGAATCTGAAAAAGGTTTCATTTAATTTGAAAAAAGTTTAATTTGAACTGAAAATGCTATATATAGAAAATAGGACGACGAAGAAACAAAACATCGTCTTTTAATAATCATCAGCAGACACAGTGATACCGTGGTCAATGAAGTGGCAGATATTATCGCCAGGAAAGGCACTACACAGATCATTATAGACTCAGAACACTTCCCTTAGTTGAAATTTAGGAAGCGTGCCATTACTGCACAAGCACTGAATGTCCTAAGTCCTTTATCCCGAAAATATTAACAAGCAGTACCAAAACACGCTTTAATCTTACTGTGCACAAAGTAAGAAGCACTTCTTAAGCCTGTTTGTTGTTTGCTCTAATCCAGTGATTCTCAAAGTGGTCCAGGTGGACCCCCAGTGGTCCACGTAAGACTCGATGGGGGTCCACGGTGACGTGAATAAAATATGGGGGTCCATGAATTGTAAATGGGGGTCCACGAAAATTTATCTGGTTTCGGTGTAAAGAACCAAAATGGTTGCTTTATAGCCTCTTTATTTAACTTTAATTTTTTTGAGTGGTGTATAGTGCTCTTGACGCACTGCTGCACTTACCGTCACTCTGTGTTTTCATACGTGGCCTCAAAGGCCACTTGCAGACTAAAAAGAACCGTATGCTGGTATGACAATGAGTGGGGCGCGGCGAAAATTGCTGGCGGCAGAGATTTAAGCGCTTGTGTATTTTCAATGCTACTGGATAGTACGCCACCATTACCTTTGTTGAAGAGATTCTATAATGTTGAGTTCCTTGAGACTGAATGCTGGTTTGATTCCATCGCTGAGACCGGACTCACACATCGTCGAATCTTCACTGGCTCCAAAACTGACTCTGGGTCATGATCTGGGGTCTTTTTCGAGGTTAATGGAGATGAGCTTCACTTTTCTCTAGGGGAATATGCTTCGGTCTTCCAGGCTGTGGTAATTGCAATACTCAAAGCCATGGACTACGTGGTGGAACATAGGTGGAGGGGAAGGAGTTTACATGACTGCAGTAACAACCAAGCTGCATCTAAGGCATTGACCTGCCCTCTATTTAAGTACTTCCAAACTAGTTCGGCAATGCAAGTATCGACTAAAATATGATGGTGAACATAAAGAGGTTATTTTACTCTGGGTTCCTGGTCACTCTGAAGTACCTGATTATGAGATATCTGATCATTTGGCAATTTTAGCACTCCCACCTTCGGCAACCGAAGCCACCATCAGCTACTGGGTGAATACTTCGCTCAGAAATGACTGAGAGGCATCGAGGGGATGCAGGTCAGCAAAACTCGTGTTGCCTTCAATCTCACAAGGTCTATCTAATTGTTTGCTCTCACTGAGCAGACGATACTGCAGACAACTTGCTGGACTGCTGACTGGTCACTTCACGTGGCACAAACACCTGACTGTGATAGGCGTAAATGGCAAGTCCATTTGACCATCTTGCCTTGAAGAAGATGAGACGGTGGAACAGTTTTTGTGCTTTTTGCTTGCTTGGTTATTTCTAATAGATTTTTTTAAACCCGTTCTTTTCTTTATTGTTAGTTTCTGAATTAAAAGTTTGGCGTAAAAAGCTTATATTAGCCGTTTTGTTGTTTTAAGTTTTGTGTTTTAAAAATGTGATAAATCTTTTTCGCCTGACTTTAAAACTCGGAGCGATAAAAATAAAAATGATGCCATTAACACAAATAAACTATTTTACATATACTCCACGTGCAAAGTAATGAGTGAGCTTATGGTGAAGATAATGTAAATAACACTAGCGCTCGCAGTTCTCTTAAAAAAAAATATAACTCTTCCGAGCGTGAGAGTATTTTGATGTATTTACGAGCTCTATTTTTCAAAACCTACAAGTGTGTAATCACATTATTTTTATAAATAAAACATAAGAAAATATTTTACTTTTATTTTAGCCACTTTGAGTTTAGTTTTTGAATCCACCCGCTTTTTAGATCTAATTTTCGCATTTAATTTTTTTACGAGCTTTGCGAATATTTAGAAATGTAACAGCAGGGGGTCCACCGAAACCAGAAAATTTTTGAAAGGGGTCTACGAGAGAAACAAATTTGGGAACCTCTGCTCTAATCAGTGCAGCTTGTGCTACGAGGAAGTTGAAAGCGTGCCAGTTGCCAGTACTTAAGTATTGGTCACACTTTTCATTTCCTAAGGTCAATTAAAGGAGACTTTAGAGATTTCCAAGCAATACTTGTTTCAAAGAAGGCCTCTGAGAGGTTGTGACAATAGTCGCGCTGACGAGGCAACCTTGTTTCTCTTCTAAATAATAAACTAATCTAATTGAAATTTAATCCACTTCTAAACCTGATTGCTTTAATAATAAAAAGCAAAAAATTATTAAAAAAAAAACTAAAGTATGTACATTATTTTGAATGTATTCCCTGACGTGTATTTTCAAAAAACTATAGAAAGCAAATTAAGATGCAAAAGGAACCTTGCACTTGAAAAATTCGCGAATAAAGCCTGAAATATTTACAATTGAAAACGAAAACATCTCTTTAAAAATCTCGAAAATTTCCAAAGAAAGTAGTTCAAAAAGTGGAAATTCATTCCCGATAACTTGTGAAAAAAATCATTTGCGCTCAATGGAACCCCAAGAAACACACGGAAAATCCCAAACAGTTCTCAAAAAAATTGCCGAGAAGTACCGGTAAAATTGCAAAATGTCACCGAAGAAGTCCGCCGAAATATCTAGAAAAAAACTCCGAAAAGTCCCCCAAAAAAATTGGAAAATCTGTAGGATAGGTTACGTTAAACGGCAGTCAGTGGCGGGGCTCACATAGACTAAAGCATCTTTGCGATGCCGCGTAGAATTTGCCGTTATCATTGTTCTGCAAAAATTTACAATCAGCCCGATTCTACGCACTTGATATTTAAATTTTTAATTTTTTTATGATTTGTAATTTTTTGTTTATTATTTATCAAGAATTCGAATGCTAGCACAGAAATCAAAAGATCGTTTCTTGATAAATTACCAAGATTGAAAATGCTTACCAAATGAAATTCCATTGGAAAATCATAAATTTTGAATATTAGAAACAACTTTTTCTATCACTTAAATTTTGCAAGTGGCGGTATTTGAAATATCAATACGCGGAATAATAGTGGACACCTCTACCTGCTCGGCTACGGCAGTCAAAAGCTTTTCCGCTTTTAAATTCACATTTTTCAAATGTGGCAATGAAACCTCATGTTGAAATCGTGGAGCTTTTTATTTTATAAACGTTGTCACAGAATGCGAAGCGAGCTTTTACTTGATAAAAATCTGGATAAAATGTCTTTACAAATAATTTTAATAAAACACGAAATTGGGGGGTAAATATTTA